TTTATCTTTATATTCGAAAATATTAATAATCAAGTAATTTCACTTATAAATATCGATTCTACAAACCTTCTATAAGATATATTCCACCACACGATTCTTTGACTTACACAATTTGCAAGAAATATTTTTTTTTCCGGGCGACATGAAACTTTTAGTTCTGAAGTTACATTATTATGTTCTTTATTAACAGAAATAATGCACTATAGTGTAAATTTGTTTAGCTATATATAATTATAATAGATACAATTGTTTAACGTCAATTATGGGATGTCTTTATTATAATAGAAAATCACGAGGGGGCCGCATTACCACCTTTTCCACTGTTATGCATTCGACTAATTCCCGGGACTCTATTATTATACGAAAGTTAATAACGCTACTGTTACTTACATTATTTCCTAAAACAGTTTCCTTGTGTACAATTTTTTACACCTCGTTCAGTTCTTTTGTCTTGCTATCGCTTCTAATTTCGTTGACACGATACAGATTTTCTCTCTCGTGATTATCCCTTCGATTATGGGTAGGGTAAAGGACGATATGCATCGTTTCCTGTGTTAGAAAATTATAATTCTGATTAAAAAGAGTAAATGTGTATACCGCTTGGGTCTCTTGCGTTATATTACATTGAAAGATCTGAAAGAGGTGTAAAAATGTAGCTTCCAGGAATATGTTCTATAGCTTTGATTATATTTCGAGGAAATATACGGTTGAACGGGTACTCTGTTTTGACAAGTAAAATGTAAATAACAATAGTCTCTCTTGTTGTCTTATAGTAAAGGAACTTCGTGGTAACATTTGAACCTGATACGAATACAAACGTTACTATTGATTAAAAGGAAAAAGACAAAGTTTATCGTTTCACATGACTTTGTAGATACGAGATTATTTATTAAGCTAATTCATATGAAGCGAAGTTTCAATATTTTCAAAGACATGCACAATTTTTTTATTCAGTTGAAGTAACCTATTGACTTCTGACCTTTCAGCACGATAGAAAACAAGGAAATACTGTCTTATTATCTAGTCTATCTTTTGGTCACGTGGATAGTATTTACTTTGATGAAAAGTGAATTAGACAAAACGAGTGCCTTTATGATTCGGTAAATATTTACATTAGGGGAAGCAGCTCCGATGAACTTGAACTTGACATATGTTGTCAGTGGTATACTGAACAATTTTCCACTATACGTATTACTGACGTCCAATTTTTATTTCCAGATGTTTGCAGAAAACATATTTAAAAAAGGATAATATTTTGTATGTCTTTGACCTTTACACTTGTTATTAAGGTAATTATTCAGAGCGCCTGGAATTAAAAATTTGTTTGTAGTCACGATTAAAAGTTATGAAGCATTCAAGTTTCACACCATGCTCAAACTTTTCGCCTTCACCTTCGCTTGCTGACGTCACTTTTTACAGTATGTACACATAAGTCTCATTTATTAGATAATAGAGATTGATATCAGTGGAATTGTATTTTAAATGAAACTCTTTTGTTCATGTTGCAAGAAGCAACATCAATAAATGAAAGTGAAGATGATTTTGAGCGAAACTTTAATGCTTTGTAATTTTTAAAGAAATAGCTACTACCGAAACATCTAAAGTGCCAAACACATAGAATAGCGACCTTAACAATGTATGTCAAGGTCATAGAAGAACTGATCTTTTTTCTAAATAATTACGATGCTTCCGCTTTCTCGGACATATTTTTGGGAATATCTTGAAAACTACAGGAGATCGCTCGTTATATGTAAAAGGAAAAGTTGTTCATAATGACAACATATTTCTAATTTGTCATTAAAATCATTAAAATCAATGAGGGCGTCCACTATCGAATTAATTATCTGATACTTTATCAAGGCCAATGCTCAGTGCCGAGGGGAAATAATTTTGAAGCTCGGTTCATTGAAGCTAGATTCAGTTTTGATTCTCCATTTTGCTAATTTTTAATACAAATTTAGACTGCTCTGACTGCTCTGTCGATATACGATTTTTAAAACATATGTTAATAACCGAGAACAGATTAATTACTACTGTATAGGAAATGATTATCTAACGCCAACAGGTAACAGAATAAATTATGGAAAAACTCAAAGCGTTGGTCGACCTGTTAAAAGAAAAGAATTAATGAAAATTGATCATTTTTGCGACGTTCACAGGGAAGTGCCCTTTTAAATTAAACCCACGTAACATCGTATGTTTCATACGGTTTTATCTAACATCACACTATCACCATATGTACCTACACAAACCTGTTTTAACTCTTATCACTCCAAGAATATTACAATATGTTAGCCAATCAACTCCAAATACATTTTGTCAATTTTACAGGAAAAGAAACAAAGACACGACAGAATTGTTATCAGGTATACGTTTATTACCATAAACATCAACGTATATAATTGTATAAGTATAAAATAATACTAAAAACAAAATAATTTATTCATCTTTTCCTGTTGTAACTATATTCGTTATATTTGTGTTTGGTAGTGAGATTCTTAATTGGAGTGATAAGGATTAATTTATATTGCATAAATGTTGAATGACCAATGTATATATTTGTAAATTATCTTGGTGCGCGTTATTGAAAATTTATTACGCAAATGTGAAATAACAGCTGCCACGTTCTAATCTATACTCAACGTCAGAAGATAAAGAAACGAGTAAAGTGTGCTCGAGTGAGCACGATAATATCAAAATTCATTCATTAGGTAAAAAACGACAGCGAAATATGAAGAAAACTTGTTAGTTGTCAGGAACGCTGACACAGAAAGATAATTTAGTCGATAGGAAACAGTGTAAGCAATTTTTGTTACTAATACTATTGAGAATAGTAGGATAATAGAATACGATTCAAAAGTGTCTCCATGGAGGAGCTGACTTTTAAATAAAAGGGTTAAGAAACTCGCCACGATACATCAATACTTGAGTAATCAATTATTCGCAAGTCATTAACCTCTGTTACGAAAAATTTCGATGCTATTGTGTGCAATGTAATTCGAAACCCGAAATATAATATATACGTAGATTAAACGCGAAGAAAGGAGACAACAAACCGGTCAGTCAAGTGGCTTAACTTTTTTAACATATCATTCGTTATTCTTCGCAGCAACTTAAACTTAACTTTGGTTAAGTTAACTCACGGTTTCGAAATCAAAATCTTTGCAAAGAATTGTGAATACTGGTACTTCGAGAGCCGTAAATATTTCGTTTTCCTAGATAAGAGTTAATCAGTAAAAATCCGTTTAAATTGTGAATCATCGCATTGATTGCAAGTTGTGTTTACACACCCAAAGTTCGTACCTTGTTGTGTACCTGGGTACCACAAACAGAGATATTTAGTTGTGATGTTTCTACATCAAATGGAAGTGAATTCTCATTTGTTACTAAGTAGTTGATGTTCTGAAATTATTCAGGACTCAAATCTTGAACTGTAAAAGCTAAAGTCTAAAGCTCGAGTCTTTACGCTCGAAGACTCGAACCACTTGTTGCTATGTTAACATCTTAAAACTTAAGCCTACGAGACTTCAAAATCTTTTTACAAAATTCAAGTTCAAATGATTGAAATTCTCGAAACTTTTGTTTGAAACATTTGTAGATTTCTTTCTCCCGCACTCACATCATTTTCTGTTACTATAGATAGAATATACTCCCCATGGATAATACTAGTGCTAATAACAGTAATAAAATTGTACAATAATCAGTAATGACTTAACATTATAATACATCTTCTGCATGATGCAATTGTTATGTTACATTGCTGTTACATTAAAAATGTGGTTAGATGTTTTATTCCAAATTTTCCATTTAAATAAAAAATTGTTATACTAGAGATTTTTCACTTATTTTTACGATAACATATAAACCAAAATACATTAATAGGACTTTTTGTAAGCGAAACAGAAGAATCATTAACACTAAATTATCTGTGTTAGTAAGGATGCAAATCGTTAAGAATTGAAATGCTTCAGTTAATCTTTTGTACTCGAAGAGATTAATTCGAAACTCTCCAGAGAAACTTTCAAGAAACATCATATTGGTTTCATTTAAAAAATAAGAACACACATCCCATATATTTTTACCTAAATATCAAATTAAGACTACATTTTCATTAGTACTAATTAAAACCTCCCCGTTCTTGAAATATTGCTGTTTCTAAAAGTTCCATCGAGTGCAAAAACTGATAAACATTCTTTTATATATGTTAGATATGTTAGGCACAGAATCGAATATAAATTGAACGTAACAATTGACCATACTTTGGAAGAGCCAGAGACGGCAGATCATTTCTTCTGTTCGCGTGAAACGGCGAATTTTTACACAAAGGATTGTTCACACTTGCTCTCCGCATGCTACCGACGATAGTTACTTCGGTAATAAAGACAGCTCAGCGCGATGTACTGGAAGGTTGAATCACCGCATCTGCGTCACGTGATTGGCAATGGGGAATTGGAATAAATCAAGTTTTATAATTTCGATCGCCGTCAATTATCATTTCTCCGCATCGTATCTCCTCTTAGAGACTTGAGTATTTCCTTACTGTCTGTTTAATATACATGTAAACAATTTTTATTTCCGTTTAATTCACTGTATTCGTTATCTCCAATTCGATCATTATTTTAAATACGACCAAGCTCACATTTAACGAATGTAATTTTAATAATTATTAAATTAATTCTTTTAATAAACTCATTTTTCAGAAAAAATATTTCGCGAGTGTAGGAGTACTCGTTGTACTATGTTTATATTAATGAACGCGTGTTCCAGGCACAGTATGAGAAATACGAGAATTAAAATGCATCCATTAAGGAAATAATTTGAATAGCAATTACGCGTGTCCAGCGTACTTACAATTATTATTCCAGCCACGACGCTAACTATGTCAATGTACTCTCGTAACTTGAGTTATTAACACCCTTAAGGTGATTGAACGATTTACAGATCTTCGAAATGAGAAATTTATCGTCGCAACGCGAGATTTTCGATTTGAAAGCATTTTATTAGCGCGTCGACTACCACGGGAATTTTGATTCTTTCATAGCAAAGACAAATGATGTTAGAAATAATTATTATGTAATGATATCTGTGTAGTTAGTTCTTAGTCTATTTATGTTACTAAATATTCTTATTCGGTACTGATTCTATTTTAATCGTTTTCAAGCGATTCGGAAGCGTCGGTAATCGGTGACCACTATGGCAATCAACGTGTTAACCGCAAACTTTTGGAAAAGTGTCATTGGAAGTTTGTATAATAATCATTTAGTTGAAGAAGGTGCAAGAGAAGTAAGATAAAGAAGGCAAAGGTAAGGTTCCTTTCGTTTCACATGTTTATGCTCAAGTCATTTAATTTTATCGCAATCTCGCGGACAGAACTATTACAATCCAATAAATCTTCTAAACAAAATATTAGAAATATGAAACAGAAACGAGTCATTGAGTTCCTAAAAATAATGTAATAGTTCATAATTTCTAATAACAATATCTATAGAATTAATTTCATTTTCATTATGTAAAATATAGGATCACGGTCGTCACAAATATGTAACGCTGGTAGTTAACGTATTAATTACCGTCTTCAATTTCAATTTCCCTTCAAGTTGCAAAATTATTAATCGTTCAGGACCGCATAAGATACACATCTGTAAAAACAGATGTAACGAACATTTAAAACTGACAAAAAGATATTTCGCGAGAAATCCATTTCGACTCGCGTTTGAATCATCGCCTCCAAGTCACGTGATCCACGGCGAACAATTGTCATACTGGAAAACTGTAAATTAATGTGACTACTGTTTTGTAGCAATGAATCACCTTTCAGTAATCTAATCGAGACATATCGTGTTTCCGGTTTTCGTGCTAACCGGTATCTGCCACCGTCACGCGGGCAATTCCACGGTTCTTTGATCTTGAATCGGGAAATGGACGGCCGGATCTAAATTCACGAGTTCCCCGTTGGACAAAGGAGAGCCCCGTTCGTTTGTTGCCTACCTCCGCTCGGTCGAGAACGGAACGTGAATCATACACGAGTCGCGGCAGCAGATCCATCAGGGTTTCTAAAATTAACCGATAGCTGCGCTGCAAATGATAAGTGTTCCTCGTTATCTTTTAAACGCCAGGAACTTCGTTTCCCGCCGAATTGAATAAGCAAGGACTCTTATTCTAAAATTGGAAACGTGCAGTCTGCAACGGGCAATTACATCCGTCCCTCCGTTTACACGGATCATCCGTTCCGCGTGGACTCGTTTTACGCGGATGAAAACTGTATAAACATAGTTCGTCGCAAACGAATAACAAAATATTGCAAATACAATCTGGTATCAGCTTTAGAAATACATATTTTAGGCAATCGCCTAAAAAGAACTATAATTATAACCTATTTAATACGTTGAATGCCATTGGGGTCACCGGTGACCCTCAACCAAGTCGAATTATTATAGTTCACTCAATTAAATGATGATTATTTGAAAACATTTCTATATTATAAATAATGCTACCTAATGCGATGATATTCAGCTGGATGAACGTGCAATAATAATGCAATTCAGTCAAATGATTTAATATTTTATTCTTTCCATTTTGTGTATTTTGCTCTATGAAATTGTATTCAATGTGTTAACCTATAATTGAACTCGTTTAATTGATTGTGTTAAAAACTTTGTTTTACGAACGCGAGAGAGGTATTTGATGAATAGCAAATAACTCCAGTTCCAGGCTTAATAGGTGACAAAAGAAACAAATGGGCAATGCGTTGCTAAGTGAAAAGTGGGAGATCTCCCCATTCGGTTGGCTAAATGTTAATAAAAACATAATGATAATGACATTCCAGGAAACAAAAGTAAATTTTGTTCGGTGTCGCCAAATTCAGATCTCGTTAATTGATATCGATAATTTGCCGGGTGAGAAAGACTCGTGTAAAAAAGTACGTTTTAGTACATTTAAAATAATACAAAATTATAGAAAAACTATAATTATAAAATTATATAAATGTAAAAGGAACTTGGAGTGGAAGGGATTAATATGTAACAAATTTTTGCAATTTGAAAGAATGTCTAACATTGTGCCGTATACTTTGTTGGAAGAAATTAATTTTTGCCCTGAAATCTCTTGTTTTATCTTCAACGCGATGCATTAACACGTTGACTGTCATGGTGTTCACCGGTGACCGGAGCTTCCAAATTGCTTGAAAACAATTACAATAAGAAAATCGATATTGAATTAAAATATTTAGTAACATTAATAATTATTTCTAATACTGTTTTCCTCTATTATAAAGGAATTCATTTTACTATAATAAAACGCTCGAAATTCTGGTGACAGTCACGTGTTAACACGTTCGCTACCAGCGTCATATTTTTGTGACGATCGTAATCCCATATTTTACATAATAAAAATGAAATTAATCCTACAGATATTATTATTAGAAATTATAAACTACGACATTATATTTAGGAACTCAATGACTCGTTACTGTTTCATTTTTTTAATATTTTGTTTAGAAGATTTATTGGATTGAAGAAAATATTATGTAGTAGTTTAACACGTAGTGTAACGCACGATACACATCCACGAAAAAATTTATTGAGATTCATTCGATACCCGAGGGTATAATATGTTGCGTATACTTCATGGCGTTAGTACAACGTGAAGTAAATAGATAACAGCAAAACAGTAAAACCGTGGTTCCAGTAACGAGTAAAAGTATAAACAATATTAGCAGTCACAAAATCGCAACAGTAGCTGCCATTGCTTCTATCAACCGAATAGCACACTTGGCAACTATCCGCTCGTGAGACAAATATTTGCCAAGCCGTCGATGGGTAATCTAAATACGTTTCGTATACGTCATACGCCATACGCTTGTCTTCGCTGCTCTCGTTACGTATTTGTTTATACTGCATTTTAACCCTTTGCAGTAGTGAACATTAAAAATTATAGTCTAAACATTAAAACTTCTATACTAAAATTCTAAATAACAATTCAAGAACTAAAATATTCATTATTAAACTAATTTATGTAAAATAAAGATCTATTATTGTATTGTCTAAAATTAAAAAATAAGTCATAAATTTCATTTGTACATACAACTAATACAATTAATACCGCATAGGGTTAGAACGTGCAAACAAGACAATGATAAACATTTTCAGTCTAGTATCACGTTTTCTTAGCAATTGACAAACTTAGTTTGCCTACGGGCAGGATATACTTGAAGAAAAATTCCCAGTCTCCATATTGTCTATTACCATGTAATGCACCATAACGTTGCATGGTTGCCAATAGTTATATACCGAAAGTTACGATTAAATTTTGAATGAAAATTTGAACGTTTCGTTACTCTATGTATTGACGATACCAGACCCACCGAGCTAACCTAAATTTTAAACAGACTCAAAAAATACACTTGTCGGTTGGTCGATGTTATCGGGAGAGGAGCCATGACGAAAGAAAATGCGTACTTACCTTGGAACGTTCCCAAGACGAGTCCTTGAAACGATGCACAAAGATTGAACTGATTTCTCACAATCGGTGTTACGAGGCGGCGCTGAATAATCCCATAAGTACTATTTATGCTTAAATCTTTTTATCGTCCGGTGGGGTCAGAGACCCACCTGATGGTCGTTGCCACTGTCATCTCTCTCCGCGCCTCTTCTCTGCTCACCTTTCAAAAGGTCTACAACACACTGCCGTGTCCACGCACGAAGTATGTAACTTTGGAGGCACAGCTATGCAAGGTGATTCATAACGGTTTTTTAGTTATCAGAATTCATTGGTTCAAATATTATACGTTGAAGTTTGAGCATTATTATTTTTTGGGATTTCCGGAGTGCCATGCGACTTACTTTGTAGTCGATTCTTTATTAATTTCCGAGACATTAACAAGAAGCTAAAACTCTCTCAGTGTTTACGTCCAGTATATTTATCATTGAACATTATTCTATTTTCTGAAAACAAATTCAATTTTTAATTTCTAATTTTTTTTTTCTAAATATTTAATTATATGTTAACTATATGTTTTCCATTTCAAAGATTAATTATATGTTCGTTCATGAATTAACCAGAATATCAATTTTATAAACAATATCGATGAATATTTTATTATCGTGTATACTTGTAATCACTTAAAAATAATTAAGTACATGGGTAAACACTTTGAAAACTAAATAAAACACTGAAAGGGTTAATGCGACGATCCTATCTGTATAGTCGTCAGTGAGCTGATGAGAGAACAACGATATCGGCCTTTAGCATCTATAGGGTGTCCCAGTGGAAATTGGTTGTTGTTCCTTTAGCTGCCTAAGATCTAAAGGATGTTTCATATTCTATCACCACAGATTAAACCACAGATTCTACTGTCAATATTCAAATGGTATGCTCAAGTCGACAAAAGGAGCCTGGGAAAGTTAGACCTAGCCACACAGTACTCCAAAACAACAAAACTGTAACAATGGATAATTTTTGAACGAATCAATCCTGACACTTAAAACCATTATATTTTCACTCTCTTCACAGGGTAAATATGAATATCATTAGAATATACGAAAGAAAAATTCGAAACAAAGTAAAGTCTGGAAACGAAGTTCAGCCCACACGATCACTCGCGCCAAACGAGCGTGACGCAGTACACACACTCACAGAATTCACGGTTCACGATCGAGCTTCTCCTTTCTCTTGGCATTCTTTGACATCTCCGTAGAATGTTGTCCGGTAATAGTGAAACTGTTGGCGGACGCCACGAGCGTTAATCCGGCTCACAGAAACACCGATTTCCGATGATAATCCCGATAAGAATGACGATAAGGGTGACAATGAGAGAAACAGTGATAAGATAAAAGAAAGAACAAGTGGTACAGCCTGGCTTCGACAGCTTCAAGCGCGCGTTCACACCAGCGTTCGTTTTCTAGGCTCTCTGGTTTACTGGAGACGCGCTGTACTACCGACTACTGCACGATGCATCCCTCCTCTTGACGCCGTCCCCTTCTCTTCTCTATTCCTCCCACCAGAATTTGTTACTCGCGTTGGCAACCGGGTATATACCCGAGTATTTACACGTTTGCTGTACATTTTCTTCTATAGGATTACATAGTTGTGTTATCCTAAAAATCTAACAAGATTTTTTAAACCTTCATTTTTCCAGCACACTTTCAACGGTTAATTTTTTCAAGATAATATTTACGCGAAAACATTTTAATACTAAAGTTTGAACAAATGAACAGTTGCAAATATTTTCTCCATTAACAGAAAGATTGACGCTTTGCACTCGTGACTCTTAGTCACCACTTGATTTGATACGGTAAAATTACAAAGTTTGATGTTTAATATTGAACTTTGCATAATGTATCATTTGTCCTTTAATTTATCGATTAAATTAGTTACATTAGTTGCAATAAGCATTGTTTAGATTTTATCAAAGAGTGTTGAATATTTCTAGCAAAAGATTTTCGAGTGCGAAGGGTTAAGCATTTATTTTACTGTTTTATTATAAATACAATAAAGAGGAAGCTATTCAAATAGCTGCAATTTTAAATAGATAGTTGATACCTAAACAAACCTGAATGATTTTATTCAAAAATAAAAATTATTTAACTTTTACTCGAAATATTTCATTCTGATTACAATAAAGTAGCAGTTGTTACAACATAAGTAGACAAATTTCTACAAATAAACTAGAGTAGTAGTTTTCAGTAAAGTAGAAGAAAAACGATGATTACACGTAAGTAATATTGTATTTAAAATAATCAGAACAAAAAGTGTTTGAAAAATATAGTTTCGAGATACAGCGATTCAAAGTTCCTTGGAAATACTTATATAGTGGACTCTGATACATCACTAAATATGCTGTAACTTTTTCATCTGTTAAAATTTGGCAATCTATTGCTGAAGTACTATACAACTGATGTATGTAAAAAATCGATTTCTGGAACCTGTTGTACAAGAATCCCCCCTTAAGTATCCAACGTCCCACATCCATGTAACCAGTTACAAATAAGGGCTCGCTCATTTTTGTTCTATCTCTTTCGCTCTTCTTCGCTATTCTTCTCTCCTAAACGCACGTGCACTTAAACGGCCGGATGCCGTAATAATGTGAATAGAAATGAGATGCTAAGGGGGTCACCAAAACGCGGCGCTAAAGGGAAAATGTACACCAGATATTTATGACACTTTGATATCTAATCAGATGCAACTGTTATATATACGTGACAATTCTAATATTGGAATTCATATTTGAATACAAGACGAAAATTCCTTTTTAGATCATACGTATAACGTTGTTTAATTATTATTCTTTAATTCTTACAATTAAGGCTAATTAAGAATTTACATGTTGAAAATAAGATAATATAAGATGATAAAACATGGATTGCTTATTAGTTTCATTAACCGTCTTCCCAAAATAATATGTTATTTTCAACGTAACTTATTTTATTATTTTTGTTGTTTTCTATTAGACTTGTCGTTTCTTGTGTCATATTTATTATATTAAATAAATCCATAATAATATTACAAGACTTAACAGAAGTTCGATAAAACCAAGTACCGATAGATGTCTATGTCTTTCTAAACCACGATGAATTCAGTTTTGAAACAATCTTTCTAATGTCCGTTTAGACGTTCGAATTTGTATTTGCAAACGGAAAAGTATATTTGCTTTCCCACCCGTTACATGAAACAAAAACGTCCTAGGAGAAACGTGCGTACGGGATGTGAATGCAAAAGCTTCGCGCTTTTAAATGAGCCCACGCATAATGTGGTACGACTATTTATTATGAGATTACAGGAACCCAAAGATTGACAATTGTTCAATTATAACTTATGGAGTAGTGTCAGGAGTAGAATTATGATTTGCCGTTTTAAAACCAAACATAGATTCCTGTTATATTATTAAAAAATAATACCAGTTGCTTTCAAGATTACAACTCTACCGATGACAAATTACAGGCTATATGCAATTATGGTGTATAAGGCTGTACATAATGCAGGAAACTCAAAATTCATATAAATTGTAAATAAAATTTATTTCTCTTTTCATAATAGAATTTTCAGAACGATATGAACAATAAAAAGTGGCTGAATTTGATATTATATACTCATCAGTTTTAATTAAGTTCAAAACGTCAATTTATAAAAGCATTTACAATCCGGATGCTCGAATGATACAAGAAAATTTTTTAATTTTAATTTACAAAATCAAATTCGGTAATTTATTTCGTTTCTTTTGCTGTTTCAAATAGATAACCAATTCAGCTTTTACTCCGTGAAATAATACAACCATGAGATGAAACAATGAGAAAGGAAAAAACACGTATTAACAGTTTAAAGTCGATATATTAATCTTTCGTCGGTTATATATATCTTATAGCCTTAATTTGTCAAATAGACTACTGTTATTACATCTTTAGAAAACATACTGTACTAAGTTTTGTATGCCTAATGCTGAGTGTCTTGATCGTGTCTCCTGTCAAAAGTTAATGCATTTAACAGGACTAATCAATTGAACTATGTATGCGTCACACAATTGCCTGCCTTCTTGACGAGTCGATCGTTTTTTCAAGCATAGGAAAATTGAATGTGATCGTGTGCGTGGTAGATTCGAGTGACTTGTATTTGAAGAATTCTACAGGAGAGAGTTTACAATACCGGCCAAAGCTACTTTCAACTCTTACATCAGTGATACTAGCACTTCATTTGAATCAACTAATAAATATTATAATTCTCTGCAACAAATTTCGAACGCAAGGGAAGTTAGGACAAGATGGAGACACGGACCAACATCGCTTACTTATTTATTTCGTGTTATGCATTGTTTACTTCCTTATTTCTGATTTATGTGATTAATTTTTAATTTACGAATCACTTATTTATTGATTTCATATCACTAGGAATAATATTATCACTTTATTACTATCAGATAATCATTTTCTATTATGTACGCTATTTCTACTATATTAAGCGTAATCAAATATACACATTAATTTATTCTTCATTTATTTCGTAATATGTTCTCTTTTTTATGTTCATATCTTTTTCTCAAACCTTACTAAAGTTAACTTGGTATTTACATTTTCACCTTGAAATTCACGGTGATGTTACTCATTATTATATAATAATATTATAATCCCCTTTCAATCAATTGCGAGACTTTCTTAGCTCGACATCAAAGTGCATCCAACCCTCGATTTACGCGGAAGTCTGTTCCACGTGAATTCCTTTTACGCGAATGAAAATGGCGCAGAATCTGTCTGTATATCAGACGTTTGATCTATTTAATTTGTAATATGTAACACGCTTTGTTCGCACGTTTCGAAGTACACCTAATTCTCAATTTACACGAATGAAAATCGAGTAGACTTTGTCGGTACATCAGACACTTGATCTACTTAATTTGTAGTAGGTAAAACACTTCGTTCTCACGATCGACAACTGGAACTTCATTTTCTACATTATCGACGACGATCACTTGATCCTTTTTAACCAAACACGAATGAAGACCTACATAAGATAAAAAAGCGTACAATACAACAGAAGGGATCACAAAATAGTCACAACGATCATTTGATCCTTTTTAAACAACCACAAACGAAGACTTACGTAATATAACACTAGATTTACAGAACGAGTCAATTCGACTCATATTGAATTTTATAAACATTTGCTAAACGTTTGTGTCTATTTTGATTAATGCAGGTACGCTAATATGAATCCTAATCGTCTACGTTTAAACCTCTAATTTCCGAAATCTAAACAAACGAATATCAATTTCTCTAAAAACAATAGAACAAGCTGTACCATAAATATCCGTAAATCTAGCCCTTTGCACTCAGTTGCCACTTGATTGAACGCAGCAAAATTATAAAATAAAAAATTCAACGTAAAATGTTGAATAAGGTATTAACACATGAAACATAGAAATAAAAGAATTCTGCCTCATAATTTATGCAAGATGTTTCTTTATGTAAGTTGCAAATGATATTGTTAACATTTCGTCAGAAATTAATGAATGTTTGTAATGAAAAATATCGTCGAGTGCAAAGGGCTAGCGATGATAAGGCGTACAATAGAAAAGGAGGGGTCACAAAATGGTGTAGCCCGTGTGCCGCGCGTGCCGCGTAACACGAACTGAATATTTTAATGAAACCTTTATTAAGTTTTTATCGTACCAAAGTCAAATAGTGACTTCGGCAATACAAACAGGTAAACGTTGCCCCGAGAGTCCTCGATGCAGATGCGTAACCGACAATATAATAATTTCAATGGAACGAAGCACGATCACAGAATATTAGTACATACGCACGGTATCTTACAAATAATCACTACTCCCGAAGAAACAATCGATATATACGACACGCAAAACAATTATTATAACATAGACGCCCGTCGTTTCCGATCGGTGCAGGATGTATCACATAAAATTGGCCGCTTGATCGTTAATAATAGATAAACAAGCAATTTCCGCCAGTTGGATCTGCACGCATTGAGTGACCCAGCTCGGGCGGTTTCTACTACCTTAAATCACAATGGCGACGACAAGTTTATTCGTTTATTTCGTTCATTTTCTTTTCGTTAATTAATTATGTCCTTAAGATCGATCGTTACGTACGTCAGAAGGCGAGTTCGCGACGCGCGTGTGCACGGGTTCTGAAATCCGTATACATGTGCACGTGCATCGGGACGCGAGCTTTGTAGAGCTGAGCATATTATATAGATTGTGCCAAACGTGTCACCAGAAACAAATAAAAGATTTATTTCGTTCAGACAATTCAGATGAAACCAAAAATGTACTGATTACAATACAAATCTGTTTTTACTTTCTCCGTGGAACGCCTCGCCGTTTTTATGGTAACATTCCGTATTAAAACTACTTAGGTTTATCAGATCGGCAATTCCTATTATGGATAGTACGACAGTGGAACTATCCAATTATTTATTTCAATTCTCTTATTCTTCGATGAAAC